ATGTGAAGGAACATGAGGGATTAGGTTCCTACAGAATATGTTTTTAATCTTAATGTTGGGAGAGAATCGTAGCATGAAACATTACTGTCAAAGTACTCAACCCTTAAATATTGAATAAAATACACAAATCCTACTTCACCTACTTTAATTTCAGTAGCTGGGTAACGAACCTAGTCGTCGAACAGTAAATCTAGAAAGCTTCGAGAAATACGGATTTTGCATAGAATCTAAGAAAAACTAGGAACTTTAGTGGGCAACCAAATTGTTTGTTCGCCGTTGAGGAGGGAATGCAGTGTGATGACTGTAAATAGTGGTACCACAAAATGTGTACATGCCTCAGTCCGATGGCATACAAAAGATGCTCGAAGCCTAACTCGCATTGGCTTTGTATGTTCTGCTGCACGGATAAAAAGGTACTAATTCAGGAGGCTATGGGCCTATTGGCTTTGGCTTGCAAGAAAAACGATGACACATGGGCTGACAACACCGGCACTGACTGACGATTGCGTCAGTGCAGTACCTGCTGTTACGTGACACCTCAAACAACCGACTCTGACCGACGCAAAAGTGAGATCGCCATTAACATTAACAAGGGGAGTAATACCACCTGGTACTGACAATGATAACAATGCACCTTTAGTGCGAACCGACGAACTGGATAAAACCATCACCGTTCCAAATAGTCCCAATGTCCTGAGGGATGAAAAATGGACTACGGTACGTAGGAAACGAAACGAAAGGAAAAAAGCTGTAAGCAGTACACAGGTAGTTAGTAACTCACTGATGGACTCTCACTGTGAGTCACATACTACACTACCAAAATCTGATGGTAAGAGTGAAACCCATCCTGGCGTGACTGAGAAGAAAAATCAAATAACAGCTAAAACTAATGACTGTTTACTTGATAAGTCCTTGGTGGACTCTCAGACCAATCCGCCAAAGCTCCAAAGTAAAGCTTCGTCTAACAGTGTTGTGAGTCACTCACAGGACTCTGTTACAATAAAAGCTAATCGTAAGATACCAGTAGTTAATATACAGGATCTATCGTCACGGTCGAAAGCTGTTAACACAATTTCAAAGGAAGCTAAACCCCTTCCTAGTTTAATTATTTGGAATCTAGAGGAGTCGAAAGATAACGACCCTGCTAGAAGACATGCACATGAGCTGCAGTTAGTGGAGTCTGTGGTAAGAAATGTGCTACCTGAAGAGGTTTCAGGGGTACATATTACAAAAGTAATACGACTTGGTAAATGGGCTGGAGGCGAGACTCAACCAAGAAGAATCCTGAAGCTGGTTCTCGGGAGTTTCGAAGAGACATATTATTGAAAAACGCACCAAAAACTCGTGACTCAAATATCCGTATTCGACCAGATTGGCCGCTTGAGGATCGAATCAAGTGGAAGAATGCTCTTACGGAGTTGAGGACTCGCTAATTAAATGGCGAAAATAACCTTACCATTAAGGGTTCTCGGGTAGTCAGGTCTTGGAAGCCAATGCTTCCGAGGCCTGTATGGGTAGAACGATTGATTGCCAAAACACCTTAAGCGTGTGCTACACGAACGCTCGTAGTCTTAGAAATAAAACGTCCGAGCTAAGTCTGATGGTGGAAGAATTACGTCCCGATATAATCATTGTTACAGAAACTTGATTCACAGTAGATATAGACTGTTCTCCGTTCATTGCAGACTATATCTGTATTAGAAGTGATAGAGTTTCAAGTCGCAAAGGGGGAGGTATAATAATATATGTTAGGGATCACTTTCGCATACAATCAACAATATCGGAGGCTCATATCAGTGGCACATGTGAGATTGCATGTTGTAAGATTAAATCTAGAAGTGGGTTAGTGACTATAGGAAGAATATACCGTAGTCCGTTTTGTCTTGCTGACGACTTTATCCTAAGACACATCTGTTCTTGGAGTATGGCAGAATGTTGTCTCATCATTGGGGACTTCAACGCACCGCATATCAGCTGGATAGAGCTTACAGCTCCAGGTAGTAGTTTCGATAGCGACCTTTTATCTACCGTTATTCAGTGTGCACTTGTACAATGTATCACAAAACCGACACATATTGATTTCAGTCATGATCCGTCACTGTTGGACCTCGCCCTCACCCACCACTGTGAGGATGTCTTTGATATCCAGCACCTCCCCCCACTTGTGAACAGTGATCACGTTGTAATTCACTTTAAGTTTAGGACACATGGTATACAATTCGTATCTGCTCCACCCCGTCCCAATATCTGGCGAGCCAATATTCCGGCGATCAGAAACTGTGCTATCTCGACTGATTGGTCGGTCGACGCGGATGGATTGATCGAAGATGAATGGAATAAGTTTAAGGCTACATTCGAGTCCGTAACGTCGCCGTTTATCCCATGGTCAGCACGTAAGCCATCACACTGCCCTCCATGGATTAATAAGGAAACCCAGAAGCTGTTAAAGCGTAGGAAACATTTCTGGGACTTATTCTTGTTGACAGGTCATGAACCATTTAAGCGTGAGTACCAAAAATTCTGTAATATCTGTAAGAAAACCATAGCCAAATCCCGTGCCACTTACGAACGACAGTTAGTATATGATAGCCGTACTTGTCCGAAACGAATGTTTTCGTATGTTAAACGGCGGACGAAACGTAGTGATTGTATTCCCCGTTACTGTTACACGAAAATTCAGAATTACTAGCTGAATCAGATCGAGCAAAAGCTGAGACTTTTTCAAACTATTTTAGCGAAGTCTTCTCTACGTTTATTGTAACAAATACTTGTCCCACTCACACCGAGATACCAACCATGGAATCTGTACAGGTGACTGACGAAACTGTCCTTCCGTTGATAACTAACCTCAAACCTGGTAAGACACCGGGCCCTGATGGGTTACATCCACGGTTGCTGTCATCTCTTGCGGACATTATTTCAAAACCGCTTGCGACACTCTTCAACATGTCCCTTTCACTCGCTCAACTCCCTAAAGATTGGAAGGACGCTATAGTCAGTCCTATATTTAAGGACGGTCAGAGACATATAGTATCTAACTACCGGCCTGTTAGTCTAACTAGCATAGTCGTTAAGTTACTTGAAAAGTTAATTCGGGTTAGGTTGCTAAGTCACATAGATTCACACAATCTGTTAGCTCCTGAGCAACACGGATTTCGTAACAAGCGTTCATGCTTGACTAACTTGCTTATTGCGAGGGAGGATTGGACAGCAGCCCTAGATAACGGTCTGTCGGTCGATGTGATATTCATAGATTTTAGCAAAGCATTTGACAAGGTTCCACACATAGGTCTCATGCAGAAGCTATTGAGCTTTGGAATAATAGGTACTGTACATGAGTAGATAGGAAATTTCTTATGTGACCGCAGACAAAGAGTGAGGGTCAACGGAACGCTATCCGATTGGAAGCCGGTCAAAAGTGGTGTACCCCAGGGCACCATCTTAGGCCCTCTGTTCTTCCTTCTCTACGTTAATGAGTTACCGCTGTTACTTAGGTCGTCGACATTATTGTTTGCGGATGATGTAAAAATCTGGAGAACAATAAAAAGCGCGGCTGATCATCTGGATCTTCAAGCTGACTTAGACGATTTAGTTAGATGAGCTCGAGAGTGGGGCTTAGAAATCAATGCTAGGAAGAGTGTACTAATGCACATCGGTCACGGTAATAGTTACCGTTACACTATTGAGGGTAAACCTCTTCCATGCGTTCAAGAGCATAAAGACTTAGGAGTAGTATTAAGTCATGATTTAAAAACAACTACGCATTGCAAAGCAGCCGCTGTCAAAGGTTTTCGTGCGTTATAGTCACTTCCCCGAGCGTTCAAATCTTTTGACGAGGAAACGTTTCGAATTTTATATCCCACCTATGTAAGGCCACACCTAGAGTACTGTATCCAAGCAGCTAGCCCGTGTCTGGTAAAGGGCCCCCAAATGCCCTGGTACGACCGAGAGTGGGGAGAGTCTGGTAGAGGATACTAACTCCCTTGAGCGTGTCCAGCGTGTAGGAACGAAATTAGTGAAGGGTCTTTCTAGACTCCCTTACGATGAGCGTGTAAAACGCCTAAATCTTTTCCTCTTCTCGTATCGTAGGACACGAGGTGACCTTATACTGGCATTTCGTATCTTTAATTATGATTTGGGTGTTAATATGTCTTATCTTTTTGCTCCCTCCAGCACTAATAATCTCCGCGGTCATAGCAAGAAGGTTCATAAACCAAGATCTAATAAACTTAAAGTGGGGTCCCGTTTTTCTCATCCAGGAACGCCTTGCCCGAACAAGTGGTATCAGCCCCATCAGTGAATACTTTCAAGGAGAAGCTGGACCTTCACTGGAAAGCAGTGTGTCAGGATTAATACAGGTTCATCAACCTACTATCCTTATTACTGAAGACTGGGTTTTTGAGGGAAGGGAACGTAAAGTACCAGTAGAAATTTTGGAGAATTATAGATTTGGAGGAGAAACTGCCTGAGTATTAAAAGGCGTTTCAAGTCAAATAGTTTTAATGAAATAAATATTTAGAAGCATATACAAAAAGATCTCCAATCATACTCAAAGTAGCTTACCCTCTGAAATATTTAACTTCAAAGATAGGATAGGTTCATAGAAATGCGAGAAAAGCCGTCGAGCTACAAAATGATCACACTTTTCCTTTAAATAATCTATTAATTACAAAACGACATAAAGTCCAACCTTGATAGTCGAAATTAATAATCCCAGAGTATACGTGTCCAATTCATTATATCGTATGAATAAATTTGCTGATAAGAGGGAGGATAAACAGGTATGAAAGTCAATGTTTGCCTCGACAAAATTTGTCTAGAAGTTACTTAATTCATAGAAAATATAACCCACATCTAAAAATTCCCGCATCAATTTGTACGCGGTCGACGGTTGTACCATTCTAGGTTTCACATCCGTGATAAAACCTTCCCATAACTTTGTCAGACTCGGCATATCATGAACACCTATGTATATATTATTTTTATCAAGAAATTACCACTTAAAGAAATGATAGTGGGGTGGTGATTAAGTATCTTTGTAATTTCTTAATACACATATATTAGAACACGAGATACCTGATGAAGTAGTTCAACTGCACACTTCCAAGGTTTATTAGCGAATTGTATGCCTTTGGGGAACATCCTTTAACGTTGCTGAAAAACTAAAAAATATTAATTTTTGAACAAATAACATGTTTACTTCGAATAAACGAATCGTTCTAAAAGAGGACTATAATTAATAGTCTAGAATATAAATAGTATACTCCCGAACCTGTCATAGTTTTTTTTAACCATGTACATCACACTGCTTTGAATATTTTATTCTTTCTTTGATTTACTTACTAATAATCATATTACTAGTTCAATGTAAAGTTATCTTTAGTGTACACAATGCAAACCAATATGCACTACAACAGTCCGTATTACCTTTGTGTAATCACTTTTTAAGATATGACATGTAAGGATATTTATCTCAGCTTATTTTGCAATATGCATGGTCCTAAAAATGTTTAGTTTTTTCAAAAAAAAGTAAGCTTCTTATAGTGAAACTCCTGTTAAGAGCGAAAGTGTTGTAGATCCCGAAGAATGACACTTGCTTCTGTGAATTTCACAGGTCCATGCGACCCATACTCAGTGATCTTGTAGAGGATACTTCGATGTTTTCATTAGCAATTCTACTAAGTACAGCCACATAAACATTTCGTTTTTATATATTGAGATCAGAATGAGGTGGTTCTAAGAAACTATTCTGCTTCGACATGCTGCATTCTGACATATCATAGTTCTTTTAGCCAGTTCATTTAAGTTACGAGGTTTATTTCTGCCTTTTAGACAAAATATTTACAACTCAAGAACATCTTTTTGAACGATGCATGGTAAATTGTGTCAAGTTAAAACTGTTATATGAGACTTCTTTTCCGGAAAATATTCTTTTTAAGCATTTCACTTATCACGCTGTACTTTCAATGTAAGCTTATCTCCTGATGAATGAGTCAATGTTAACATTGACTCATTCATCGTGAAAATTTTCACGATTTCGAAAGTATGTCCACGCGTGGATGTGCAACGATTATTGTTTCTATAAGCGATTATACAGTCAAATTGCAAACCATTACTGCACACATAAAACTTTCGGTCCTAAATACTCAGCAAACTTTCAAGCAAATTGGCAAAGATTGATATTTGCTAGGATATATATCAAATCTAACAACTCACAGAATGTAAGTTTGACGACACTAAACGATTGAACAGCGTGGACCTTGACTGTTTGCCTAAAGATATATTTTCTGTCAATTTCAAATAGTCTAACTAAATACCAATAACCCCAGATGGCCTTGACCATCAGACTCGAAATACGCAGAGTAAAGTTATATTGTGTTGATACAACAGATTTAAACACAGCTAAAATTACCTAACCCTACGGTAAATAGAATAGTTATTCACTAGACTCTTCCCTCAACTAAATATACACCAAGTTACCTCACAAAAAACACCTTATGATAAGTTTGCATGCAACTTTAACGACCTTAACAGTTTTAAATGAACTCCATTGCAGTCATCAGTGCTAATTATGAGAGTAGCCAGGTGGAAATTAACTTTACACAAGCTACCCACAACACCTTATCAGCGTTCCAGAACATTTTATCTCGAAATTACAAAAAATCTGAGAAATTAATTGATCATATCTACCCAAATGTGTTTAAAGTACTCCGGTGTATTCAGAGTGCTAATATATGTAATGCACATGACAGTGCAATCTGAAGATCTGTTAAAAAGCTCAACTACAATAACGTGATCTGTCCCACCTTGAAGCGTGGCACGAAAAATACATAAATTTCAGAATAAAGCATTCTGTCCCATTCCCTTCCAATTTAGTAGTACCATACAAATTGTCAACTAAATTAATGATCACTCGTTACTCAAACGTATTCCGACATTCAAGTGCTTTCAGTGCCCCTGCTGGAATGTTTTCTGGTCCCGCTGCTTTGCCGCTCTTGATCTGCCTAATGGCCATGCTAATGTCCTCAAGTGTTGGTGGGCCAACACCGATTGGGAGGTCCGTGGGTGTTGCTTCAATGTTGGATGGGTTCATTGTGGCTGGTCGATTGAAGAGTTCTTCAAAGTGTTCTACTCATCTGTTTCGTTGTTCTTCAATGTTGGTGATTACTTTGCCTTCCTTGCTTTTCACTGGTCGCTCCGGTTTACGGTGATTTCCAGAGAGTTTCTTAGTTATGTCGTACAGTTGTCTCATGTTTCCTCCTCTTGCAGCCTTTTCTGCCGTCATTGCTTAATCCTACACATATTAACATTTGTCGGTTTTGATTATCCTCTTCAACTGCCTGTTTACTTCTGTGTATTCAGCTTGTGCCTTGGCTTTTTCTGCTCTTGTTCGGCTGGTATTGATTGCTGACTTCTTGTTCTTCCGTTCTTGAAACTTATCCGGTGTATCAACAGTGATCCATTCCTTGTGATGGTGCTTCTTGTGGCCTAGGACCTCATGACATGTTGAATTGATTGCATCCTTTATCCCTTTCAAGTTGCTCTCCATAGTAGTTTCTTCACCATTCAGTAGATCGTGAACGGCCTGAAACTTATTGCTGAGGGCCATCTTGAATTTGTTGAGCTTATCAGTAATCCGAAGAAAAGCCGAGTTAAACTTTTGTGATGTTGACCGCCCCGTTGTCCAGTGCTTCTTGAGTTTCAATTTCATCTTGGCGACTAGCAAGTGATGATCTGATGCTATATCAGCTCCTCTCTTGGTTTTCACATCCTCCATCGTCCTCCCGAACTTTTTGTTGATGCAGATATGAACGATTTGGTTCTGCGTAGTGTGATCCAGTGAAGTCCATGTGATTTTGTGAATGCGTTTATGTGGGAATATAGTGCTGCCTATGACCAGTTTATTGAAGGCATAAAGGTTTGCAAATCTCTCACCATTTTCGTTCCTTTCTCCCAGTCCATGTCGTCCCATGATGTCTTCATATCCGTTGTTGTTCACCCCAACCTTGGCCTTTAAATCTCCCATCAGAATGGTCAGGTTTTTTGTTGAGCACTTCTCGATGATTGACCGCAACCTATCGTAGAATTGATCTTTAACGTCTTCATTTTAGTCGTTGGTAGGCGCATAGCATTGGATGATGTTCATTGTAAAGAGGAAGACCAAACAACACATCATGCCGAGAAATGGAGACAGACATGAGGGGAATCAACAAGAATCGGATATAACCAGAAAGGAAAGCCCAGGATAGAATGGGATGGAGAATGCTGGTCGGCGGCCCATGCTCCATTGGGAGTAATAGGCTTGAGTAAGTAAGTAGGTTTATTATCCTGGGTCAATGGGATTCCCATCCTGTAAGTGCATTTTGTGCTTGCTTGGACAGCATCAATGTAACTCCTTGTGTGTGTGGAACATTTTCTTTTTCATGGCAGGAGTATAGTAGAAGCTCCCTTGAAGCTAGTCGTTGTTGTCCAACTTGCCTCCAATGTGTCTCACTATTCCCAAGCAACTTCAGGCTGCATCTTTCCATTTATGCAGCAATTTGGAAGACTCTCCCGGTCTCTCACATTGTAAGGTCATTCCATGTACCTATATTAATAGTTGCTCTGGTCGTCAGAAGGGGCATCAGACTCGTGACTTCCGAAGGAACTCGGCTTTGAGCATGAGGCCTCACAACTCATTTAAATGAACCAATTTTTTCGGTTAGCGTTTGTTTAACGATTTGGTTTTCTACGGGATAGGGTCGCTAACCGCATGCTCAACCCTTCGCTTTTATTTGGGCTTCGGGTCGACGGTAATCCCAGAGGAGCTCCAGGAGGGGTGAAGGTTTCTCCCTTCATCCATAATTATCCTCAGTCTCAGCGCTTTCTTAATCGACCCTTCCATTCACTCCCTAAATAATCAACCTACCCATCGAATCCACTCTTTTTCACTTGCGACTGTCGGACATGACTCTTCTTACCCCACTCCAACATCTCCCAACTGCTCTCCTATTGGTCCCATTGATAAAAACTCAAATGAACAACATTAATAAGAGGCCTGCTATGACTATTGTTTTGTCAAATACCACATGACAAGACCAGTCTAGAAGTGACTGTCAATATGAGAAGCTGTAGCATGGTGTCGAGTTGAGATTAACTATGAACACCGCTACCAAGAAACACGTGCCAGATAAATCCGAAGGCGAAGGTTGGACGTAACCAGAGAAACCCATAAAATCTCCGAGAAGCCAAATATCAGAAGGCAAGTAATGGACCAAGTCGAGTTATATTTGCTGGCGATCTCGCGGCATCGAAAGGATACCGAGATCGTGCCAGGATACAACCTTGGTTACAGAAGGTAACCGAATTCGCGCGAAGTTACAATCCAAGTGTAAGTATAAGAATGGAAGCACAAAATAGCTGTCATTAGCACAGTCAAACAAAAGCACGTTAAAACAAACACTGGTACAGTTGGTTATAATAATAATTGTTTTTATTAAACCAGTCGTGTTCTCGTGATAAACGTGAGTCACTACAGGAGCCCCCCGCTAGAAAGGGTTTACACTTTCGATAAATAGCGGTTTGAATCGTGGGACTGATAGGCTGACGAGCGATTGTAGGACGGAGGAATCGGCGAACAGGAAAGCGATCGTTGATCGTCGAGTTGCCAACGAAGGTCGTTCTCGGAGAACGGTACAAGGAGCGATGTGTTGTATTTATTGCTTGAGTTGGCATGCTACACCAGAGTGGTTTGTATCCAGAATCTGAAGATTGCGTTCGTAGGGAAAGCGGACCAGAAACGCTGCAGACGAAGAACGAAACCACGTTGAGCCAAAAGACCAGAAGCCACCATAACGACCAAGTTCGAGACCAAGCGTATGCCAAGCATTCGAAACCAATAAATCGACTGAGTGCGTTGACAAGAGCATGGGTGGCCAATCCAGCTTTCGCCAAAGTTGACTGAAGTCGACGGAACCAAACGGAGATGGTCGAAGGCGTGGGCTCAGGAAACAAAAAGAAAATCAAAAAAGAGAAGAGTGTAGCATGCGTGTAGCATAGGAATATTCCTACACCGTATCGGTTGTTGACTGTGCGACTAGTCGCGGAAGAGTACGGGCAACCGTACTCGGCGCCCGGAACGTGAGACGGTAGTCTCGTTCGTATTTCGTGGGCCTGCAATCTCATCCGAGGTCAGAGGCGGCGTGGTCTGCTGATCTGGACGTGAGACTGTCGTCTCGTCCGTAGATAGTGCATATGACGCGTGCTGTTGACCGGGACGTGAGAATGAGGTCTTGGATGTATCTAGCGTGGGACCTGAAGAAGATTTAAGGATCCCGCTAGGTTTGATAGGTCTAGCATTGAATCTCAAGGTGTCAGATAGGGCACTGTCATCGACGTGTTCTGGTTTGAGACGATCAATGCTGACGATCTCGACGCGTCCATATCGATCAACCTTGAAGGTCTTTTCGTGACTAGCGATCACGTGAAAAGGGCCTTCGTAAGGTTGTTGCCAAGGTTTGCGTACCGAATCTACTCGTATGAAAACATGTGGACGGGTAGATAACTCTCGAGGGAGAGCGACCTGTCGATGTTGTATTCGAGTTGACACCGGAGACAGCGTTCGCATAAATGCAGAGGGTCGATGGACGTAGTCTGATTTACCGAAATCAGGTCTGCTCCGTGGTGTGAAGAATTCTCCGGGCAGACGCAACGTCGTGCCGTATACCAGTTCAGCGGCGGAACATTATATATCTGCCTTCAAGCTCGTTCGAATACTTAAGAGGACGAGCGATAAGGTTTCGTACCAGTTGTCGTTCTCGTGTGCTCGTAGAGCACTTTTAAGTTGTCAGTGAAACCGTTCAACTTAACCATTTGATGCTGGGAGGTAGAGGTTAATGCTTATGCGAACGCATTCGGTACCAAGCAGCCGGGTCAGCGAGGAGAATAGTTAATAGGGGGAAATTTCTCGAATAAAGCGTAGAATTCATCGTCACGCGAATAAAAAGTGACAAGGATTCGGTGCACACACATGTGAGTCTATTATATTAATACTATTCTTATCGTTATCCGTCATGTCGGGTATATTATATATTAAAAAAATGAAAATATACGACAGACGTGGATAGATAAATCATAGACTCACCGAATTGGCTTCTTTGGAAGATTTGACCAGAAGTTGAGGCGTGCTCCAAACTTTGGGATCACCAATTGTAGCGTGGTGTCGAGTTGAGATTAACTATGAACACCGCTACCAAGAAACACGTGCCAGATAAATCCGAAGGCGAAGGTTGGACGTAACCAGAGAAACCCATAAAATCTCCGAGAAGCCAAATATCAGAAGGCAAGTAATGGACCAAGTCGAGTTATATTTGCTGGCGATCTCGCGGCATCGAAAGGATACCGAGATCGTGCCAGGATACAACCTTGGTTACAGAAGGTAACCGAATTCGCGCGAAGTTACAATCGAAGTGTAAGTATAAGAATGGAAGCACAAAATAGCTGTCATTAGCACAGTCAAACAAAAGCACGTTAAAACAAACACTGGTACAGTTGGTTATAATAATAATTGTTTTTATTAAACCAGTCGTGTTCTCGTGATAAACGTGAGTCACTACAAAGCTATAGCCAATAAACTAGCAATACCTTAATTATAGTAAGTCGTATGATAGTATTCTACAGGTCAAGTTGAAACTATTAATAAAAAGAATATGAATATACATATAGTATAGTCATATGGTGGCATTGGGCCCTAACCACACAATCCTTAAAGCTGAACACTAGACAAACGGGAAACTAGATACCGATCGTCGTCAGGGTTAAGGATAACCAATGAGTATTAATCGGCTGCACGTCATGGATTGGCCTATGAGACAGTGACTCCACTCTATTTCTTGTACCTTCTCTTGCTAATATATTTCCACAATCACGTTTTTCGTGTTGTACAGTCATCAAAGTAACAACAGCACCCGGATACGACGAAAAGGTAATTCACATTGAGAATTAGCCGTAGGGTGTGACTTTTGTGCAAGCTTGTTAGTATCAACATTCCGGGCCAACTGGAGTGGTCCTCCAATCATCGATATGGATCACCTACGTTGATGATTTAAGGGCGTGTAACGACTCAAGCTTATTGGCCGAAAGGTGACCACAATCATCTACGCAAATGTCAGAACATTATAGCTCAAGTATTCATTCATTTGCTTATTTTGTATAGGCATTATATTTCCTGTTATTTTGTGTTGAATGTTGAAAAGTTTTGTATCTTAAAACATAACCCCGTGCTCCACTATATATTTCCCCATGGTCTAAGTAGGGACTTATTCACTACGAGTCTGTATTCTTTTATCAATGAAACGAGGTATATCCACCGGCTTGGAAGAGTCATGCCACCAATTTTATGTTGGATTCGCTACATCGCTAAAGTAACCTATTGCGTGCCAATTCTCACACTATGAATGAAGAGCTGAAAGTGGATAAAAATTATGATGGACAAAAGTAACAAATAATAAAGGCATTAAAGGTACTAGCGTTTCAGAACACTTTAAACTCCCTTTTGTGATTTTGAAATTGAATGGACAGCCTTCCTGTTTCCTACTTCAGCTTTCATTTCATTATTCAAACCCATTCCATCTTAAAACACTACACAACGGATTGTTCTTTGTTTCTGCAATTCCTTTGCTGATCTTTTAGCTGCAATTAAGTCTATTGATAGTACCTAACATAAAGCTTACATGCTAATTAAACATAAATTTGTTTGTTAAACTGCCTTGCTGAGGATGTACATCCACTTATCATTCTGCTAGTCTTTTTTGTTGTTTTCAGCATCACAATGGCATGCAACTATGAAGCTTTTATACTAAACTGGTACCAAACCTATACGTTTGTCGAGGTTCTAGGTTATACCTTCTCGTAGTTACTCCAATACATTTATAAAATTACTAAACATTTATATATATTATGATATGATGGTTTAAACCACTTAATGTATAGTAGTTTAATCCTCGGTTTTCTATGACTAGGCAACAATGATCTGGACTCCCGGGGCTGACTTGCGTACGCTATATCCATCAGTATCGTCACTACTCTTCTGAGTATCGCGAGACTTTCTCTAAATAGTTATGTTCCGTTTTTTAGAAGGAATCCTAAATGACTGTGTTTATCAAATTTAGCCTGCAAGCACAATTTACATAGAGGCAATAATAGGTCATAAGTAATCACACATCATTGTAAATGGAGGAAATAAAGTGTAGCGTAGGCTTTTTCAGCATCCGATATGTAGTTGAATTAAATGTCAAGTGATAGTCTCAGACCACGATCTATGCAAGGTTTTACTTCAGTCACTTAGAAAGTTGTAGATCACTAATAAAGGTGGCCTATGCGGTTTATCGAGGTCTAATTGAGTTGGACAGTAATGGTGTGATCTCTTAGCTTACGTCGAAGTCATGCTTTGCAGTTTGATAACGCTGTTTCTGCAACACCTTTTCACTCGGAGATTCCAAACCCGGTAAGGCCGGAAGTCGAAAATGAAGGAGCTTGCAGGTATATTTCGTAGGTGGTCTATGTGTCGAGAAGTATATAAACTATTCTGGCTAGTTGTTGCAGGGGTGCTTAAAACGACGTACCCAATGGTGATCTTATTCGGATCCTTGACCACTCTCTTTCAGCTACAATGTGCCAAGCAAAAGCAAAAAGGTCGAAATCAATGCTAGGAATTACAGAAAAACTGGTGAGAAGTTATGAATTAACCAATCAGATATAAGATGACAAATCTTGGATATGACGCTAAATCCATTCATCCATTTAGCCTAATGCCGTTTTGGCATTTCAGATGATGTCAGTCCGCGGTGAAGACCCTAATTCTAGTTCTCAACTTTAACTGTCAATTCTAAATCATAATTATAATTTCTTACACTGGTTTATAATTATCGTTTAGCCCAATAGGTAGATGGACATTCTCAAGGTCACTTTGGCGTCGCTCAAAGGTCGTCCGTAAATTATAGTCTCGCCGAAATATTTCTTTTG